AATTAGATCCCTTTGGCTCCACTGCTTTAACCTTATCCATAGTGGTTTAGAGTTCTTGTGGCTTGATCACATTTTTACAGTAAAATGTTTTTTGCCTTTTGTACTTAAAGGATAAGTTCATCTTTCCACCCTATCCAACCACTTCCCCCTCGGTCTACGCTGCACTTACAGTGGGCAAAATAATTATTTGATCCCCGGCAGATTTTGTAAGTTTGCACACTTACAAAATCTTAATACGGCTACAATCACCTCACACTTACAAAGAAATGAAGGGTCTACAATTTTTATGATAGGTGTATTTGAAATGATAGAGACAAAATAACAACCAAAAATCCAGAAAAACACATGATAAAAAATTATATAAATTGAGTTGCAGCTCAGTGAGTAAAATAAGTATTTGATTCCCAAGCAAAACACGACTTAGTACTCGGTGGAGAAACCCTTGTTGGTAAGCACAGAGGTAAGACGTTTCTTGTAGTTGGTTACCAGGTTTGCACACATCTCAGGAGGGATTTTGGTCCACTCTTCCTTTACAGATCTTCTCTAAATCCTTAAGGTTTCTTGGCTTTCGCTTGGCAACTCAAAGTTGCAGCTCCATAAATTTTCTATAGGGTTAAGGTCTGGAGACTGGCTTGACCACTCCATGACCTTAATGTGCTTCTTCTTGAGCCACTCCTTTGTTGCCTTGGCAGTAATTTTTGGGTCATTGTCATGCTGAAGGACCCATCCATGACCCATCTTCAGTGTTCTGGTTGAGGGAAGCTGTTTCTAATCCCAGATTTTACAATACATAGCCCCTTCCATTGGCCCCTCAATGTGGCAAAGTTAGCCTGTACCATTAGCAGAGAAACAGCACCAAAACATAATGTTTCCACCTATGTGCTTGACTGTAGGGATGAGGTTCTTAGGGTCACAGTCAGCATTTTTCTTCCTCCAAACATAACGAGTCGAGTTAATGCCAAAGAGCTCAATTTTGGTCTCATCTGACCACAGCACTTTCTCCCAATCCTTCTCTGAATCATTTAGATGTTCATTGGCAAACTTCAGATGGACCTGTACATGTGCCTTCTTGAGGAGGGGGACGTTGCGGGTGCTGCAGGATTTCAATCTATGTTGGCATATTGTGTTATCAATGGTTTGTTTGGTGACTGTGGTCCCAACTGCCTTGAGATAATTCACAAGTTCCTCCTGTGTAGTTCTGGGCTGATTCCTCACTTTTATCATGATCATCCTTACCCCATGAGTCCAAATCTTCCATAGAGCTCCAGACTGAGGATGATTGATGGTTATTTTGTATTTATTCAATTTGCGATTAATTGCTTCAACAGTTGTCTTCTTCTCACCAAACTTCTTGCTGATGTTCTTGTAGCCCATTCCAGCCTTGTGCAGGTCTATAATCTTTTCCTTGATGTCCTCTAACAGCTCTTTGATCTTGCCCATGGTGATGGTGAGGTTTGAAAGAAAGAAAGAGATTCTGTAGACAGGTGTCTTTTATACACATAACGAGTTGTCATTAGGAGCACCTTTTTTAAATTGACAGGACTAATCTGTGTATCACATAAGCATATAGCTAGTCTGTGGGAGCCAGAATTATTGTTGATTGGTAGGGGATTGATTACTTATTTTACTCACTGAACTGCAACTCAATTTATAACATCTGTATCGTGTTTTATCTGATTTCTGGTTGATAGTCTGCCTCTATCATTTAAAATACACTTATGATAAAAATTATAGAGCCTCCATTACTTTGTAAGTAGGCAAACTTACAAAATCTGCATCAAATAATTATTTTCCCCACTGTACCTCTGTGGGCGATTAGCTATCAGTGGCCATGAAGCTGGTCCAGAGGTTCTGGAGTTTTAAAGCCCTGCTCTTTTTCTCTTTCCTTCCTTGGGATCCCTGGGAAGGATCACAGCAATTGTGATTGGTCACATTCTGGCACATGACCACTTTGGTCAATTGGAATAGCTCTGATCTGTCCCAGAAGTCCTAACAAAAGTGTACAGTGTTAGTTCACTTTTTCATTTTTTGTGAACAGGTGATCGTACACTTTAACTCCTTCCCATCGGCCGTATGCATATATGCAGCCTCTCATTGGGTGGGCCTTAATGCCAAGAGGCAGCATATAAGTGTGCCTAAAGACAAACAGAGCTGTGTCGTGAGTGCATGCCCTGCACAGTTACTAGCAACTAACAGAAAGCTCCCGATCTCTACTTGTGTTCAGGAGCTATCTGATCATGTGGTCACTGTGACAGCCAATCACGGCGGCCACATGATCAGAAAATCCATCTCACCTCTCGGCATCTGAAACCCCTTAAAGGGCAGGGAGGTGCTGGAACCAAGGGGGTACTGTTTGAAGAGGGGTAAGGAGATTACAAAATAGCTTCCAATAAAGGTTTTCTATGGCTTTCCAAAACAAATGTGGTGATGATGTTCTCATCACCCAAAGACAGTTGGATGTGAAATGCTACCTCATCTCTGCAGGACTCTGGTTCCCCCTTTAAGGCTGAATCTATATTTATGGTATGCAAGCTTGAATAGAAACATAAATTTGGGTACAGGTTCCTGTTCCTAATTGTGTCAATCCAGAGAAAGGAAAAACAGACCTGTTAGCATAGAACTATCACTCAGTTTGCTTTGAGAGTTAAATAAAATGGACGTGAAGTTTCAAGGATTGGCATTGTCAGTATAGTCTTTCTAGACATCTCAATAAAATCATATGGCCTAGAATCATGTAGCCTTAGACATACCTGTTTTGCTTTGTTTGTAAATGTCTGGAGAGAATATCCAATTTGTCACTTTATTATATAACATATATGTTCTATCATGGGAAGTGTCCTAAAAAGCATGTTAAAAACACAAACCTATACTCCTTGCATAGTGATGAAAACTGCTGCTGATCACTTGTGGATATACTACTTCCAGCTCATTCTAGTCCAAAAAAATAGATAGGGCCTGGGATTCCATCTCTGCAATTCCTGCAAAATGCTTTTGGACCTCTACCAGTTACTTCTATCTACTGGGGTCAATAGAGACCTCATCATGCATAGCAATAGTAATAGAACACTATTTAGATAAACAGAGCTAATCAAGTGTGTGGAATGTCTTTATCATGCTGCATACGTAAAAGTGTCACTCCCGTTGGGTTTCATTTACATTAAATCTGCTGAGGTCTTGTTGTGAAACATGTGCATGTCTCTTTAAACAACCTTCAACACTTGATGAAGACCTGTGGCCTTCCAGGTGTTCTGGAACTACAAGTCCCACGAGGCATTGCAAGGCTGGCAGTTACAAGCATGACTCCCAAAGGCAGAGGCATGATGGGACTTGTAGTTCTACAGCAGCTGGAGGGCGACAGCTGAGCACCCATGACTTACATCAATGGATGCAATGGGGTTGATTTCCTCAAGGCAAATAGGCTGTTCACTTTGCAACAGAATTTTCCCTTAAAAGTGAAGCTCTGCTGACTTCCATTACCCAATCATGTACAAGCAAAAATACTATTTTTTTTAAATTTTTCTTACACATGACTGAGTGTTCCTTTCAAAATGAATTAGCACCACTTTCACAAAGCTAAGAGAACATTACTTTGTAAAATAAAAATTCCCTTTCCAAAGTGAATAGTCTATTTCCATTTAATAAATCATCGTAAATCTATGTAACTCTTTGAATATCAAGTTGTTTCATTCAGAAATTGGTAGCATGAGGCACACATGAGAGGTTGTTAACTTGTAGCATTTATTATATCAAACCTAAATGTACTCACAAACAAAATGAACAAACAGTCTGGTCTGCATTCCACTTACATTCAGTACCTCCAACCACTACAGAATGCATACCACTGTTGAAAGTAGTGGCTATGGACTGCGGTGACTGGACTGTGTGTCCATAATGGTTACTGGTATACTACAGTAGTCATGTAGATTTTATTGCATACAAAGCTGCAAAGCACACTGTTTATGAGCACAATTTTAATTTCTATAATACAATGCTTCACACAATTCCAGGACATGCTCTCTGTTTTGTTATATGCTTTCATTAGCTAGCTTAGAATTACACCAATTTCATCATCCAAATACTTTTTTAAAGAACCCTCATATGGTGAAGGATGGGAAAAGATAGAGATAAGAATGCAAAGTGAATGAGTTATCTAAATTGGAACACTAGATGTGGGGAGTGAAGGAGTGGTAAAAGCAAAAAAGCAAAAAAAAGAAAAAAAGAATCTGTCCATCCTGCTCACCCTCTGGACAAGACCATGGGTCCCAAGTACTTACAGCATCTAATTTTGTCTTGAAGTCCACCATTCTTTCCTGGATTGTTTCGTCAGGTGGGCGACTCCACACCCTCACCACTCCCTGCATAAAAAAGTTTGGTTTTAAACCGCCCATCCCTTTAAATAGGATTAATATCGTCCTTCATATATCTGTAGGCAGTTGCCTACATGAACATCAAAGCTTCATTTGTCCAGTGAAAAATTCAGCCAATGAAGCAATATAAAAATAAATTTTGGAAGCTACAGTTGATTGATGAAAAAATAAATAAATATTGACTAAACCTGGTTGCCGGAGAAGGCTATATGATTAAAAATAACTGTGCAACTTCGTCATCAGGTAAGTTATCCAAGTTTTAAAAAGTATCAAAAATATGTAACATATCTAAATAACTGAATAAAATATTGAAAATATTAGTAAAGTCAAGAACAATGCATGAAAGGGAATGAATTCAAGACACAGACACCAGAGGAGTCATTGTTAGAAGCATACATGACAGTTCATTTTGCGTGAACCAGAACGGGGTATTAGTAAAGTTAAAAGTGTTTAAGGAGAGAGGTGAAGGACTGAGCAGGATGGCTGAGTGTGGATGGGATGTTACACAGAGGTAAGATGGCTGCACAAGACACATGAAATTGCAATATTCAGTTGATCATTAATAACCCTATATTGCATTTCTAGGGTTTATATACTCTGAAGAGAGATCAGCATTACAAGGCTCAATCATACCGTTAGCTCCATGTCATCGTCTTCTTTCTCTTTTACAGTCTTGTCTGGTTCTTCTACTTCCTTTTCTTGCAGTTCCAATTCATTTGCTTGGGACATGTATGGCATCTCATCTTTGTTTTTGAACTCTAAGCTAAGGATTGAAGGTGGCAGAAGAATTCCTAGAATCACCTAAAGAAGCAATAATAGGATACTATCAGAAGCAGCATTATATGCGTTAAGTGTTGTAGTTACACATACAGCAGTTCTGGTAGTCATCTATTATACATTGTATTTCATTATAGACACATTGGATGGGGAAGTTGATACAGCTGATATTAAAATGCAAATGCATATCATAGATTTAAGGGATTGGAAAACAGCTTTGTGAATTAAGCCTTTAGGAACTGAATTTTTTAAATCCTGTTTTATAGTGTGTCCTTCTGTTGGCAGAACTACTGTCATACTGGAGTGGTATCAAAATTGGAAATTTAGTATTTTTTTTACATTTTTTTTTCTAAGTTGACATGCTTTTAAACCATTTTACATATTTTACTACTTATTTAAATTTTTTGTTTATAAATCACCACGTAATGTTATGACCCATGACACAGGTTTTCACTCTGGTTTTTCTAAAGAAAAAGAACAGCAGCAAACATTTACTTTGAGTATCTCTCTATCTCTAGCTGAAGGTCAGGGTCATACAGAGAGGGGTAAATTTTCTTTCCTGTCAATAAATATATCCAGGTGGAATTTTGGATCCCTATACAACATAGACTATTCTATAGGTGTCATTATCTCTATATATTATCAACAAATCATCTGAAACTTTTTTTATGGAACTTTGAATATGCCTCCAATAGTGTCACATACAACAAAATACAGATGTTAAAATGATCACAATTTTATTACACTTGATAGCTGCATAAAGAGCTTATAAAAGCGCATAATCACACTCACAAAAGTATAGAAATATTTGCATTAAAGGATCAGTTCACCTTTTGTAACATGTTACACCCATATTTAGGGTGTAACTTGTAACATGTTACAGATGCACCAGCCTCCGCACCCCCCAATCCCCTGTCTTAACAGTGAGTGGGGGATTTTTTCTCCCTATTCACTGTCACAAGCTAAAAAAAACAACAGTCATGTGGAGCTTTGCCCGCCTGGCTGCGTCATACATTCACAGTGTTCTGTGAATGTGAAAACTACAAGTCCCAACAGCTTTTCCGTCTGTCCGCTCAATGAACTACTAAGGTGCTGTTGAGCACTCTGGGTAGTTCATTGAGCTTTCTTTCAGAGTGTACCTCCCTGTCCATATCGGAGGTTATTGATGAATTTGAGAGAGTAGCAGATGTAATAGTAGATCCTACATAACGCAGTGTCTGAATATTAGGATTTTGGTATGATTTTGGTATGTTTGGCAAAATGCGTTCCCTTGTCTATTCCATGGTGTGTGTCCTTGGTTCCCCCCTGGGCTGAGAGGACTTGTTAACTGCCTTTTTGTCCCCTTCCATCCCCGAAATTGTGTATGAGTTGGTAGACTGGTTAATGATTATAATCTCAAAAAAACTTTTTTATACATACATGAGACAGGAAGAGTCCAGAATAACTGGAGGATTACATGAAATGCATAGAATTCGGTCCTTGGTGAGAATATTTATGTACTTTATATATGATTATGCACTTTTATAAGCCCTTTGGGCAAATTTTTATACTATCATTTGTGATAAAATTGTAATAATTTTTAACATTTGTGCTTAGTTGTATGTGTCACTGTTGGAGGCATATTTACAGTCCGATAAAAAAATTTCCAGATTATTTGTTGTTAATGTCTCTCCTCTGACTTATTCAGATGCATGTAATCTGAGCTACAGTGATTCAGCTCTGTAAAGAATTTTTTCAGTCAAGGACAGTTTGGTAAACACACAAAAAACGGGTTTAAATCCCCATCTGCCAACCAACAAAAGTAAATTTAAAAAATGTATGTGCAATAATTTAAATTTACCTGACTAAAAAAATCTAAGAATTTTTTTTTTTTCCTGAATCTAATACCATTTTCATACATTCTACAACATTTCTTTTAATGCACAGATAACTTGACAGGTTAAATTATCTTAGCTGTCTTAAAATAATTATGTTATTACATAGTTAGTTTGGCTGAAAAAAGACAAAAGTCCATCCAGTTGAACCATAACAAAAAAAGTTATAATCCAACACCTACAGTTGACAGAGGAAGACAAAAAAACCCAGCAAAGCATGATCCAATTTGCTCCTGCAGGGGAAAAAATTCCTTCCTGATCCCCCGAGATATCGGATATCGGATAATCGGATATTCCCTGGATCAACTTTATCTATAAATGTTAGTAACCAGTTATATTCTGTGTATCTAAGAAAAAAGTCTTTTTTAAAGCAATCCACTGAGCTGGCCAGAACCAACTCTTGAGGGAGTCTATTCCACATTTTCACAGCTCTTACTGTGAAAAAACTTTTCCGTATTTGGAGATTAAATCTCTTTTCCTCCATACATGCCCCCTTGTCCTCTGTGATGACCTCAAGGTGAATATCTCTACACCGAGTTCACTATATGAACCACTGATGTGGTTATACATGTTGATCATATCCTCCCTTAATCTCCTCCTCTCAAGAGAGAAAAAATTTAGTTCCTCTAATCTTTCCTCCATGCCTCTTATCAGTTTGGTTTCCCTTCTCTGTACTTTCTCCAGTTCCCCAATGTTCTTTTTGTGAATTGTTGCCCAAAATTGAACTGCATATTCCAGATGAGGTCTTCCTAATGATTTGTACAGGGGTAATATGATATCTCTCTTTCTGGAGTCTAGACCTCTTTTAATACAAGAGAGGATTTTGCTCACTTTAGAAACCGCAGCTTGGCATTGCGTGCCATTATTATGCTTGTGATCTACCATTAAACCCAGATCCTTCTCCACCATTGCTTCCCCCAGTTGTATTAAAAAGTAAATGTTCCAACACTGAACCTTTCAGTACAACACTAACAACCCTAGACCATTCAGAGTATGAATCATTAACCACTACTCTTTGAATACGATCTTTTAGCCAGTTTTCTATCCATTTACTTACTGATTTTTCCAAGCCTGTAGACTTTACCTTACACAGTACCCGTGTGTTGGGAACTGTGTCAAATGCTTTTGCAAAATCTAAGTATACCACGTCCACAGCCACCCCTCTGTCCAAGGTTTTGCTCACCTCCTCATATAAAGAAATTGGATTTGTTTAACAACTTCTGTCTTTCATGAATCCATGCTATCTGTTGCTTAAAATATTTTTTTCCCTCAAGAACTCATCTATGTGGTCTTTTATTAAATTCTCCAGTACCTTCCCAGCTATAGCTTTTTTAAATATAGGCACCACATTGGCCTTACGCCAATCCAGTGGTACTATGCCAGTCATTAAAGAGGCCCTAAAAATGAGAAAGAATGGATTTGAAATGACAGAGTTCAATTCTTTAAGGACACGTGGGTGTATGCCATCCGGTCCATGGGCTTTATTCACCTTTATTCTGTCTAAATATTTCTTGATCATATCAGTTGTGAGCCAATGTGGATCATCTGGAGCTGAGTCAATACCATGCCCATTGTGGACAAGAGCTCCCCCATACTCCTTTGTATACAAAGAGCTGAAGAAGGTATTTAATAAATTTGCCTTCTCTTTGTCCCCAGTCACCCACTCTAGATTATTTTGTAAAGGGCCTACATGCTTGGATCTGACCTTTTTACTGTTAATATATTTGAAGAATTTTTTTGGGGTTTGTCCTGCTATCTTTTCAATCTGTCGTTCGTTTTCAATTTTTGCGGCCTTTATTTCCTTTTTGCATATTCTGTTATATTCTTTGTAATGTATAAACATTGATATTGTTCCTTCATTTTTATATTTAATAAAAGCTCTTTACTTATTATCTATAACTTTTTAAAATGTGACCGTAAGCCACATAGGTTTGATTTTTTACCTTTTAAACTTATTGCTCATAGGAATATATTTTGCACTGTGTTCACATACAGTCTTTTTGAAGAACTACCATTTCTGTGTTGTGTTCATTGATGCCAATATTCCCTCCCAGTCTAAGTATTGGAGAGCAGCATCTTAGAGTTATTATATATGTCAAATACATATTTGTGATCTTTACTTAAAAAATAAGGGTTGATAAGAGAATGCCTTAATCATTACCTTAACAAGTCATGTTTCTACTGACATTTTTAAAAATTTAGAGTAAAATTAAAACTGATTGGTTTGTATAAAGGACGTCCGATCAGCTTCACTCCAAACAATCTACTTTATTGAACCAAGATAAAACCAATACAGACAGTGGAAATACAACGGAGGACCAGCAGGAAAATGTGTTTCACGCTAAAGACAGCGCTTATTCATTATGAGGTAATGAATAAACTCTATCTTTATCATGAAATGCGTTTACCTGCCAGTCCCCCACTGTATTTCCACTATCTGTATTGGTTTTATCTTGGTTCAATAAAGTGGATTGTTTGGAGTGCAGCCAATCAGACATCCTTTGTTCTCTCTATGCAGCACACAAGCTGGACTAGCACCTACAGGAGAATTTGTGCTTGGCGATTGGGAGTCTCTCTACCTTGAGCAATGGTAAACATATATGGGTGGTTTGTATATGTGGCAATTCTGTTTTTCTCTTGTACCAACATACATTATAAAAATATTATGTATTGCTGTTTGTCTTTCAGGATTAACGTTTCTTAATATTAGCTAATTTAATCTTTGTTTTTAACTCTGTTGTCTGAGTCTTATTTATATTATCTTACATTTTAGGATTACCATTTTCTTTCAAAAATAATCCTCTATATTCGGAATATATAAATTTGGGGTAAGTAATTTATTAGCATGGAAGTTGTGGATGTACAGAGTGAGTGTTTGTCATTAAATTATTAAAATGTCCTTGAAAAAATAAATGGCTTTACTTTATAGTCACCTTACTTGACACTAACCTTTAGACCAGAATTTTTACGCATTCGCAGCCTACCCATCCACATATCTGTCAGAAGCATTTGGCTGCATGTGTGAGCAATGAAGTCCCGATGCTTGGCTGCTACAGCAAGCTGCAGGCATGTGGCATTGCTCCAGTTCTTTAGCTCGTAGGTCAACAGTTTCATTGCCAGCTGCTCATCCTGCTTGTATGACTGGTCCAATAACTCAACAGCCAGCTGCCCAAACTCTCTGAAACATAAAAATAAGTCTTATTTACTGCATTTTACAATGAATGTATCTTTTTTTCCACTGTGGAGCTACATAATCTCATTTGTCAAGGTGTCTTAGGTAAAGAAGTACCCGTCTACAGCAAGCAGTCAGATTAAACACTATACTGAAAAATGACAGTTAAAAAAAATAAGATTTCAAATCTGATTGGCTGCTGTGGAATATAATGAAAACATACTAAAAAGACTTCCTACTGAATGTTTTGGATACCTGTGTTTAAGATTTTAAAAACTTAGAGCTAAACTCAAATCTAAATAAAAATATGTAATACATATATGAGAGAGTTTTTTACCTGCCAAAAGGATTTGTATTTAAGTCTATGCAGTCCTGAGATTTACATGTCTTTGCCACATGACACAGCCCTGTCTGCTAGAGGAGGAGATCTGATTGTTTTCTACTGCAGGTTCATTTTACTTACAGGTCTCCTTCCCACACCCAACCTGTAACTGAACATCAAAAGGAGAAGCAGCACACTGATAAGCGTATCTTTTTTTTCACTCCTATCAGCTTTGTCTTTGCACCTAATTTGCTCCTTGTTCTGCTTCCCACTCCAAAGTTGTGAGCTCTGCTGTATGGACTGTACAGTAGACTGGTTGAGGCTGATACCAAGCCAAATTCAGGTACTAAACTGCTTGCATTTAAAAGAAAAGTGAAAAATAAGGCCAGTGAAAGGACTTATCTGCAATTCCCCAAACATTTCCATGTATCCAAATATTGTAGAACTTCAGAAAATCAACTACATATGTTGAAATTGAAATACATATACTATATGTGAACTGTTTTGCCTACCAAATCAATTTTTCATTCTGTTTGGAAATTCTTGTAATTCAGTCACTCTGCTGAACAGCCCAGGCAAGTCTTAGACTTTACTGGAAGCTTATTCCTTATTGCAAATTAGTGAGAGCTGCCTCTCCCTCTCCCAGAGGGCTGTACAGAGGAGTACTGAAGGCTGATATCAAGAGGTACAGTCAGGACCATAAATATTGGGACATCAACACAATTCTAACATGTTTGGCTCTATACACCACCACAATGGATTTGAAATGAAATGAACAAGATGTGCTTTAACTGCAGACTGTCAGCTTTAATTTGAGGGTATTTACATCCAAATCAGGTGAAAGGTGTAGGAATTACAACAGTTTGCATACGTGCTTCCCACTTGTTAAGGGACTAAAAGTTATGGGACAGAATAATAATCATAAATCAAACTTTCACTTTTTAATACTTGGTTGCAAATCCTTTGCAGTCAATTACAGCCTGAAGTCTGGAACACAGACATCACCAGACGCTGGGTTTCATCCCTGGTGATGCTCTGCCAGGCCTCTACTGCAACTGTCTTCAGTTCCTGCTTGTTCTTGGGGCATTTTCCCTTCAGTTTTGTCTTCAGCAAGTGAAATGCATGCTCAATCGGATTCAGGTCAGGTGATTGACTTGGCCATTGCATAACATTCCACTTCTTTCCCTTAAAAAACTCTTTGGTTGCTTTTGCAGTATGCTTTGGGTCATTGTCCATCTGCACTGTGAAGCGGCGTCCAATGAGTTCTGAAGCATTTGGCTGAATATGAGCAGATAATATTGCCCGAAACACTTCAGAATTCATCCTGCTGCTTTTGTCAGCAGTCACATCATCAATAAATACAAGAGAACCAGTTATATTGGCAGCCATACATGCCCACGCCATGACACTACCACCATGCTTCACTGATGAGGTGGTATGCTTAGGATCATGAGCAGTTCCTTTCCTTCTCCATACTCTTCTCTTCCCATCACTCTGGTACAAGTTGATCTTGGTCTCATCTGTCCATAGTATGTTGTTCCAGAACTGTGAGGGCTTTTTTAGATGTCGTTTGGCAAACTCTAATCTGGCCTTCCTGTTTTTGAGGCTCACCAATGGTTTACATCTTGTGGTGAACCCTCTGTATTCACTCTGGTGAAGTCTTCTCTTGATTGTTGACTTTGACACACATACACCTACCTCCTGGAGAGTGTTCTTGATCTGGCCAACTGTTGTGAAGGGTGTTTTCTTCACCAGGGAAAGAATTCTTCGGTCATCCACCACAGTTGTTTTCCGTGGTCTTCCGGTCTTTTGGTGTTGCTGAGCTCACCGGTGCCTTCCTTCTTTTTAAGAATGTTCCAAACAGTTGTTTTGGCCATGCCTAATGTTTTTGCTATCTCTCTCATGGGTTTGTTTTGTTTTTTCAGCCTAATGATGGCTTGCTTCACTGATAGTGACAGCTCTTTGGATCTCATCTTAAGAGTTGACAGCAACAGATTCCAAATGCAAATAGCACACTTGAAATGAACTCTGGACCTTTTATCTGCTCATTGTAATTGAGATAATGAGGGAATAACACACACCTGGCCATGGAACAGCTGAGGAGCCAATTGTCCCATTACTTTTGGTCCCTTAACAAGTGGGAGGCACATATGCAAACTGTTGTAATTCCTATACCGTTCACCTGATTTGGATGTAAATACCCTCAAATTAAAGCTCACAGTCTGCAGTTAAAGCACATCTTGTTCGTTTCATTTCAAATCCATTGTGGTGGTATATAGAGCCAAAAATGTTAGAATTGTGTCGATGTCCCAATATTTATGGACCTGACTGTATATAAAGGTGCTCATGCTAGTTTTATATAACATACAATTGATGATTTTGAATGGATTCATAACTGAATTAATTTGATTTCTAATATTGGCATGAAGCTCAGTTCTACAGCAAAATAATGCAGGATGTGTATATATTTAATATTTGTGACTATGTGTGATGAGAAAACAGAAAAAGTTTGGTTTGTAGGTTGTTCAAACAAATGAAAGAATCTGCAAACTTTGAACATAGCACCCATCCATATTGAAGTCAAAGGTAACCAAATCTTATAATTTGTTTCTGGGCTTTTTTAGGCCAATTTGCAATTGATTGTTAAAAAGGGGCATGGGCAGCTTGGCACTGAAATTAAGGACATGTACCAATGCAAAAAAAAACAAAACAAAAAACGAAAACATTCAGCAGGGAGTCTTATATGAGGCTTAAAGGGCAACAAAATAAATACAAAAATACAAAATGTAAATAACATGCTTGGGGCTGCTTTAACATGGTATTCAAGTTAATTTTACAAAAAACACTGATAGGCAGAGTTTTTATAACATAAAAATGTCATAAATGCCTCTTCCGGCTCGTTAGTGGTAATATAATCTGAACCACGCATGTACAGCTCGGATCACATTTACAGCACCCTTGCTGTACTGTGATTCCCATACACATGCATGGGAGTGTAGTAATTGTGGCTTGACCATTCAAGAGGCCAAAGAGACAGAACCTGGAACGAAGACCAGGTGAAGACAAAAGCATGGAGAACCAGGGGGAGCAGTGAGAGTGCAGTGTTGGAGGGCTACATTTGACAGGTAAGTTTGCCATACTGTGCTAGTATGCAATGTAAAATTCTCCAGAAAAATGACATTTGCTGGCTAGCTTTATTAGCTTTATTAGTTTGTAAAACAATCCAAGACATTTATCCTATATAGACAACTTGTGTATGTAGGTTGATGGAAAAAACACAGGCTTCTCCAGAATCGATATCAGACCCTTATTCAGGCATGCAGCCTGTCTGACCAGAAACGAGAGGGGGACAATGAGGTGAGCATATGCCCTCCCCCCTCCTGAATGGGAAGAGCATCTTGCCAGGTGTCTGATGGGGAGGGGAGGCTGAAAGCCTCTTTTAAGATAAAAGGGCCCCCAAATATCTGACCCCTATGTTAATGAGTACAACTCATCACTCATTCCCCCAAAAATTACAAAGTGAATAAACACAAACACACACTGTTAGAAAGTACTTTGTCAATTACAGCAAGGAGCAGTATTGTTGTGCATGGGTTGGCATGTTTATGTTGGCAGATCATCGAGATGTTGCCAAATCATGCCATACTAGATGCCTACCCAGAAACGTAGCATGGCTGGCCATGCAATCATACCAGTCCACGTGCCCTCAACATGGACAGGGTACCTTTCCAGGGTAGTCCCTCTGGCAAGGCACCATGTCCTCATGCTGGTGGGGAAAAGGGCCTCATCCCCACATCCCAGCCCAATGCATGTGTTGGTTTAAATGGGAAAACTTAACAGAATATGGAATCGCCCTTTAAGGTAACATTAAGGTGTAAGGTTTGTTAAGTATTCAGGAAAAAAAGGAAAATACCATATAAATACACCAACACCTTGGAAAATTCCTATGTTTAAAAAACAACAAAAAAGTCTTATGGTGTAGATTCAGATCCCTCATCAATCATGAAGAATAACACCCCAGCAACAAAACACAATGACCCATGCAGGACAATCCTGCTCTTAACAGACCCCGACTGCGTATAACACATCTCCAGCTGGTTCCTGAATTTCAACAAACCTGCTAGTGATGCTGACTGAAGAAACTGTCCACATATGGTCATGACAAAGTATGGTCAATGACACTATCCGGGATTCCAACTGGCTTTTTTCAAATGTAAAACAAGTCAGCGGACATTCTGGAAAGTCATTCATTTTTTTTTGGCGGTACTGTTGCCACCACTAAACAAATCACTGCTGACTGCAGCAGTAGTTTCACAGTGGGCCACATCTGGCCATTTAGTTTGCCAGTTTGGTGAAACTGGAAACGTTAGAGTTTGGGTCAAACTCTTCATTGACTTGATCTGGAAGCTTGTCCCTAGTACCTACTGTATGGACTAGGTAGATAGGTGATCACTTTAATGCTAGATGTACATATGTTTAGGTAATCAGTGAAGGAAACAGTTTGGCTATTTAATAAACAATATGAATGCAAATAAAAGAAACAAACATCATGTTGAATTTTTGACAAATGTTTTATCTTAGCCGAGCAGCTGAGACAGTTATAACTTACTCAGATAAATTGTATTCTCACAGATTGAAAATGGAACATCACTGTATACACTGTCTTATAAAATAATCATTATATTTAATATGTTAAAAAAGTGTTATAATTAATTAATCCTTTAAATTAATAGAATTTAGAGAGATGCATTTTCTTAATACATAAAGGTTAATAAACAAAAAGTTTGTGCATAGCTGCCCTGCATGAGGCAAGGTGATCATTTAGGGCTCATTCACAAGTGCAGCAGGTGGTGGTGCCACCTAATGCAACTAATACAGTTCAATGGGGCTGCACTGGATCAGCACTGCAACTCCCTTCAATGCATGCAATTGCGGTGTGCTAGTAATATAGCAATTGAGTGAATGGCTGTACCTTTAGTGTTCATGCTGATGGTTGGGGGAAGTAAAACCCCTGCTTAATCTCCAAGTTTTACCACCCCCACCTCATGTGTGAACGAGCCATTAGGGTGGTATCTTGTGCTTTCTCACTTTGCTCTTGGCTCCTTACTGTCTTCTTACTGGTTTGCGTGTTTGAAAAATAGAACAAGGACTACAATTTGCTGTTTTCTTAGTTCCCATGCTATCAAAAGTGACATAGAGAATAATTATTGATTATGGCTAGAGGCCATATGATGGGGGGTCTGCGGGTGAGAGCTTATCCGAATATGGAAACCTAATTTAATAATAAGAGGGCCCCCAGATATGCCCCTTACATGAATGAGTATGGGGTACATAGTACCATTACTTCATACGTATTTAAAAAAAAAAGTTGTGAGCTAGAAATAAAGATACCCATACATCTGACAAGTCCTTTCTCAAAAAATGTCCCCAAAAGAGTCCCTCATCGAAAATCCATCAACATTCACGATGCCTGCCACATGATGGCTCACTAAAAAGAAGAATCTGATGACCTGGAGCACATGACCAATCTCAACAATACACATAGCTCAATGAACTGTTATTAGCTATAAAAGGGAAGGGGACAAGGATAGTGGTGACATCCTTGACTAAATATAACCTTACTTGGGTATGGTGGTGGACCCCAGCTATCCCTGCCCCTTTGCTTAAAAGTAGCCGGGATTCTATGTGGACATCACTGGGGTCCTTGGGATGCTGCAGATGTAAGCACCTGTGGATTCCAACAGGAACTAGTAAAAGCGGGAAGCTGTCATATATAGAAGTGGTAGAAATATCGCTTCTATATAATTCATGGCTTCCACTGAACAGGTACAATATGGTTTTGGAGAATCAAGCATACAATATTCCCCCGAACAGGGTTGATGATGAGAGGAGAGAAGCTCCCTCCCTTCTTCTGTGGCAAATGAAGCCAGAAGCGATAGCCGGATTTTGACGTTTGGTTTGTTATTCACAAGCCCTTACGGGCTAGGCAAGCATATGATCAAACTGATCTCAATAGGAAGGTCAGAGTGAGAACAATAATTCTAGTGCCACACCTTCTGTTTAACTCTAAGCTGGTAAACTGTAAAGGAGACTTTTTCTGTGGCAAAGTGTTATTATTTTGAATAATCTTTCTGCGATATGGTGATAAGGTAGGTAATCACAAAAAACAAAATGTGTAAAAACCTATACAAATACACCTGAATTGAAACACCAGCCAGCTGCCATACAAAAAAAACCCTATAAACACCACAATATATGCAGATCCTAAGTGTAAAGCATTCTTATTAGGTACAGCACTAGTCATCAGTGAAACAGTAGCAATAAGACAATCATGACTTTTATTAGTGTTTCTATTTTTCCAGATTAGAGATGATTTCTTTTACCAGTTTTATTTTATTTTTTTGTATTTTATTGTTTTATAAATGTCAGTTCTTTGCAAGTGTTCCACTGGGCTGGAGTATATATGACTTTGGGCTGCTGCATCAGACATCCCCTTAATAAAGTCCTGTGTGATGAAACACATCGGAGACAGAGCCTGATGCTATTAGCAGAGTAGGTAGTGTGTATATTTCTAGGTTCTGTACGTGGGTGGGAGCTGAGTGGCCAGCAGCCAACATATGACTTATGCAGGCCATAGACGGGTCCAAAATCGGCTGATTTTTCGGTCCGAAAAAAAAAGTGGCGATTTTCGCATCATTAGTGGGTTAATTGGTCGGCGGTTTGCCACTTTTTTTATCGGTAAAGTTGGCAAAAAATCAGCCGATTTTGCCGATCGGTCGATTTTTTCCCGACAATGATGGGCAAATCGGCTGATCGTTTTACCGATAAAAAATCTGCACATGAGCCGTGACCTGCAAGAAGAAGAAAAAGAAGAAAAAGGAAGAGGACGAAGAAAAAGAAGAATTCCAGTCCGCTATTATATTCGACATGAAAAAGTATTGCGGTTGCAACAAAGTATCTATTTGTATCTGAATAAAAACATCTGTATCTGAAATGGATACAATGGATACATTGTCGCAACTGCAATACTTTTTCATGTCAAATATAATAGCGGAGCTCTCTGCAAGGGACAGAAGTAATTAAATGCCGGCCGTAGACGGGACAAAAATCGGCCGATTTTTTTTCACCATTGGTGGTAACGTCGGCCTATTGAACGACCGTTTTTTTTTTTTTTTTTAAACGGCCGGTTTTTGACCCGTCTATGGCCTGCATTAGGTTCCTGCTAGTGTTGATAGAAGTTCACAGTTTCCTTTTGTTAGAGCAGTTACATTATATATATATACTTTCCAAACTATGTCTGATCTTCTCCCTTGAGGCTGTTCACTTTCTTTAACAAGATTGGCATGCACATCTACTGAGTGTATTTCCTAAGTCTAGTGAAGGGAGCACTGCTGGTCAAGATTGTGTCTTTCAAGAATCACTGGGTGTGTATTTGTCAAAAAGGATTTGCATGAACTTTATATATTTCTAAGTATTTGGTGGGACATTTTGGAGCACTTGGATACTGTTATATGATTTTTTGGTCAGATGCACAAAAAACCTAATTTTTATTCACTTATTTGCATTATGATTTTTTCTTTTCTTCTGACAAACAGTAAGTGCACTGTCTCTTTAAATATATCAACAAAATATTCAAAAGTGCTCAAATGCTTGATAAAATAAATAAATTAACGAATGAATAAAAATAGTAAATTCAATAATTTATCAAATTGATATAAATACTGATAAAAATAATTATAAAGTGTGCATGTGCCAAATATACAAAATTATGTGCAAAACATTTAAATGACAGGTTAGGCATCTATTTACTCAGTGTAACATCATCTTTTATATTTGATTTAAAAAAATGGGAATTATATTGTGTTTGTATGCACTTTAAATTTCTTCTTGAAAAACAATCTGTGAGAATAGCGTGTGGCATAATAAATTACAACAACCACTATTTCATTTTCCTGGGCCTTTGTTTTCAAAAAATATATAATGTTTTTTGGGGGGGGGGCCTAAGGATAATGCTGAAATTCACTGCATTATTCACATATATTGTGAGAGAAAGCATTCCTACTAAATTATACAGACCTGGAGTTGTGATTGAGTTCCTGTGAAATGTCATCAACCATGTCATTTTCAGATGCTTCATGTGCCATTGCTTTGCAGAGCTTGCAAGCCACTAGAGCCTTGGCCATTGCTTCCTCTCCATGTTGCCAAAAGAACAAAGCCATCTTCTGTCTTTTCATTAGTACTGCCCATACCATGAGCTCATGAAAGGGGAAAGGGAAATGATTTATTTCAGGATCATCTAAATCAATGTCCACCTCCTCCTCTTTCTTCTTTGTAGTATTTCTTCCTCTCCTCATTGGAATATCATCCTATTACAAACATCATATTTAGATAGACAGCTTATAACAGTATTAGACAAAGCAATGTGTTACTAAATAACAAAATAGTTTTCTTCAAATTAACAACTTGTATTATATATTATCTGGATGTGAGTTTAAGCTTAAAGCTGAATACCAAGAATTAAGCTACTTTGTAAAATCTGCAGGCATACTATGACTTAAAGAGACACTGAAACTTTGTTTTTAAAAAAAAAACCAAACATCATACTTACCTGCTTTGCACAGTAGTTTTCAACAGAACAGCCCCGATCCTCTTCTTTTTGGGTCTCCGTTGGCATTCCTGGCTCCTCCCCCTAGAGCAGTGCCCCCAGAGAAAGCTGCTCACAGTGGGGGCACTGCTCTGTCCCCAAGCTGCTGCTTTCTGTGTCCATAAGGCCCCCACTCTTTCCTCATTGGCTCACTTGCTGACTGAGCTCCCGCTGCTGTCTCAGTCAATGAGGAGGAAGAGTCCTCAGACAGCAGAGGCTTTCAAGAATGTTGCTGGATTGGAGGGGGCTTAGGTAAGGATTCGAGGGGGGTTGGGAGGGGGGTGCTGCACATAGAAGGTTTGTTACCTGCATGCATAGAATGCATGAAGGTAAAAAACCTTGAGCCTTTAGAACCACTTTAAGTCCAGCTAGGTTCCTGCCGCCTTGTAGACTTATCTCTATTATTCATATTTGACAGGTTTATTGTGCTCCAGGAAGATAACCTCTGGAGCTCCGACACTGGTCGCTGTGGTCTCACTTGGTCTGTCAAGAGCAGAGTCGCTGGAACTGCTATGCCTGCCCCTCCCCTCTTTATGCCCATTCACAGAAGCTTTTGTATTATGTGAACTCAATTACAAAATACAAAGGCTTCTGTGAAGGGACAGCAGTGGGGAGGGGCAGGTCTAGCTGCTCTGTGTGCTTCTCTCCTCTCACAGCTGGAGTGTATCCTCCAGAAGTGCAACAAACCTGTCACATGTAAGTAATAGAGATAAGTCCCAGAGGTGACATGCATCTAATTGGACTTAATTCATACTGTACCTGTACTTTTTGTAAAATTTCTGGCTTCCTTGAATTCAGCTTTAACTGTTTGCGTTCAAGCTAGGTGTGTAAAGGTACAGAGATAAAATTCATAACTGGGAGTTGTTTTACTTTTACTATTTTTGTCTATTCAGTTCTGAGATTTACACAGCTCTGCCATACAGCATAGCCATGACTAGCAGAGCAGGGGACCTGATGTTTCTCTGTTGCAGTTAAGTAATAAATAAACATTTACAGGTCTTTCCCCTGCACACAACCCTTGACTGGATAGTGAAATGAGAAGCAGGACACCAATTACTGTACATAGTTAAAAAAGACACATGCCCATCTAGTACAACCAATATAAACAAAAATAAATACATAGAACAGCCAAGTCTTTATAAACCATGGTCCAATTTGCTCCAACGGGGGAAAAATAAATGTCTTCCAGGTACCTCAGAAGGTACTTGGATATTTTCTGGATCAACAATATCTGGTAGTATTACATGTAAATTTCAATATCCAGTTGTTTTTGTTTGCACATTTAAGAATGCATACACATCTTTTTTTTAAAAAAAAAGCATTCTACTGAGCTGGCCAGAACTAGTTCTTGAGAGAGTCTATTCCACATTTTCACAGCTCTTACTGTGAAGAATCATTTCTGTATATGAATGTTAAATATCTTTTCCTCCAGATGTAAAAAGTGCCCCATGTTGTTGTAATGACCTGAAAGTAAATAAATCTACACCAAGTTCACTATATGGACCGCTTATGTATTACTACACGGTGATCATACCCCCTCTTGATCGACTCTTCTCAAGACAAAATAAATTCAGTTCAACTAGTTTGCTTGCCCTTCTCTGCACTTTCTCCAGTTCTCCAATATCCTTTGGATTTTGCTTGCTTTAGAAACTGCAGCTTAGTATATTGTTAAGTCTATGATCTACCAGAATGCCGAGATCCTTCTTGATAGTTGACTCTCCCAGTTGTATTCATCTTAGAATGTACTTTATGACGCATGCATGTTTTTTCCTATTTGCCACAGTTACCCAATTAAACTGTGCATTCATGTCTGCTTCTAAGTTAGAGACATGCTGTTACTATACTTATCTGCTACATAGCTAAGTGTTATCTGCAAACACTAAAATGGTACCTTTCATCCCAAACTCTATATTATTTATACAAGTGAAAATAAGTAAAAAAATAAGGGTCCCAACATTGAACTAAGAAGCTAATTTGTTTGTTGCTATGCTCTCACTTTCTAGCAGCAGGTTCGTGCAGATTTGTTGGCAGCATAAAAGTACTGTAGCACACCTGATTGGCTCCTTGCACTGTTTCTCCCTCTTCAAGAGTTCTGCTATACAGGGGATTGCAAAAGGATGATACCAAGACAAAGTCAGGTACTTACACCACTTGCATTAAAAAAAATCGTATTAATGAATAATGAGCAATAATTTGTTTATTTTATATCTGCTTAAAGCTCAGCTTTAAAGACCTCAAAGTCCATCTACAGTTGTGTGTTTTTCATTCTGTGGGGAACATTTTATATACATATATTTTTTCTCACTTAGTCACAAGTGAGAATAAAATATTGATTATTAGGTTTTTTTTTATGTTTATGTTAAATTTATATTTATCAGGCTCCAATAGCCTTTTACATACCTAGTTCAATACCTCCAATTTAAACACAGTTTTTGAAAAAGAGTTGAAAAAGTCAGATAAGTTACTCTTTTTTTTCCACTCTCTATCTGCCTGTGCAGTTGTAGTCACTGGAAGGTATAGGAAGGAGAGACAGCCTGAGGACAAACAGCTTTTGCTCTGCCCTTACTCTGCTCTGTGAATTCTTTGTCAGAGATTCACCCTGTATTCAGTGTTAATTTACAAAGAAATGCCTTTAAACATGTATTGAAATATATACTAAATTAATTACAACATTCATAAAATTAAAAAATAAACATGACCCAATACTATTATACAGTGCTCAAAAAAAATAAAGGAACACTTTTTAATCAGAGTATAGCATCACGTCATTTAAACTCCTGGGATATTGATCTAATCAGTTAAGTAGCAGAGGGGTTATTAATCAGTTTCAGCTACTTTGGTGTTACTGAAATTAACAACAGGTGCTCTAGAAGGACAACATTGAGACGTGGAGGTTGAGGTCACTGACATTTTTTTCCCTACTCATCTTTTCTGACTGTGTTTCACTAGTTTTGCATTTGGCTAGGGTTAGTTTCACTACTGGTAGCATGAGGCGATAGGTTGCACAGACAGTTCAACTCCTCCAGGATGGCACATCAATACGTGCCATTGGCAGAATGTTTGCTGTGTTTCCCAGCACAGTCTCAAGAGCATGGAGGAGATTTCAGGAGACAGGTAGTTACTTTAAGGAGAGATGGACAGGGCCATAGAAGATTCTTAACCCATCAGCAGCACCGTTATCTACTCCTTTGTGCAAGGAGGAACAGGATGAGCACTGCCTGAGCCCTACAAAATGACCTCCAGCAGGCCACTGGTTTGAATGTCTCTGACCAAACAATCAGAAACAGACTTCATGAGGGTGGCCTGAGGGCCCACCATCCTTTAGTGGGCCCTGTGTTCACTGCCCAGCACTGTAGAGCTTGATTGGCATTTGTCATTGAACACCAGAAATGGCAGGTCCACCACTGGCACCCTGTGCTTTTCACAGATGAGAGCAGGTTCACCCTGAGCACATGTGACAGATGTGAAAGGGTGTGGAGAAGCCTTGGAGAATGTTATGCTGCCTGTAACATCGTTCAACATGACCATTTTGGTGGTGGGTCAGTGATGGTCTGTGAAGGGATATCCATGGAGGGATTCACATACCTCTACAGGCTAGACAGTGGCGCCCTGACTGCCATTAGGATGGAATCCTTGGATCCATTGTCAGACCCTATGCTGGTGCAGTGGGTCCTGGGTTCCTCCTGGTGCATGATAATGCCCGGCCTCATGTGGCAAGAGTATGCAGACAGTTCCTGAAGAATGAAGGAATTGATACCATTGAATGACCCCCCACACTCACCTGGCCTAAATCCAATAGAACACCTCTGGGATATCATGTTTCAATCCATCCGACACCACCAGGTTGTACCTCAGACTGTCCAGGAGCTCAGTGATGCCCTGGTCTAGATCTGGGAGGAAATACCCCAGGACACCATACATCGTCTCATTAAGAGCATGCCCCGACATTTTCAGGCATGCATACAAGCACATGGGGGCCATATAAACTACTGAGTACCATTCTGAGTTGCTGTAATGAAATTTCAGCAAAATGGACTAGCCTGCTGCATCATTTTTTCACTTTGATTTTCGAAGTGTCTTTGAATTCAGTCTTCGGTAGGTTGATAATTTTCATTTCCATCAAACAATGGGTCATCCTTACATTCCTAACACATTACCCAGTCCATATCAGTATAGCTATCCAGCATGATATTTTTCCCCATTGAGATCTGATGTGTTTTCAAAGTGTTCCTTTAATTTTTTGGAGCAGTGTAGTTCTCATATACATAAGGAGTAAAACTAGCCGGATAACAATTTGTTTTGGAAAAAACAGCTTAGGGCTGTGTCCAACTCCATTTAAATGACCAAAAATCAAAATATGTTGTTATGTGATTCCTGGTAAAGGGGAGGAAGAGAGCTCACAGTGGCAGACCACTCTCTTCAGCAGACAACGTGTCCAAATTCCTTTATCTTGCTATGTGATCAGTAAAATATTTTATCTCTTTAATTACTAATTATCTATCCCAGCAAAAATGTTAACATAGTTTAAAGTGGAACTTCACTCTCTCATTCAACATTAACTATTTTTAATCCTTAGTATTAGTAAATAGATAGTAAGGTAAATTATATTAACTTGTTTTAAATTTTTTGATTTTACATTTTTTCAGTCACTTTCTGGTTTCCAGGCCCGGGCAAATGATTTCATATATCCCAGGAGTCTTTAGGAAGGGAGGAGGGGCTTTC